GGACGTTTGCGCCGTCGCCCCGGTTGCGCGGCTGGTGCAGGATTTTGTCCACCAACCGGAGGGAGGCGCCGGCCTTACATCTACAGATGAGGCCCGCGCCTTCTAAAAAGCAGGGGTGCTTCTGAGAAGCCCTCCCCCCTCCTCCCACCCCCCTCTGCGCGTGGCTGGAGGAACCCAGACGTCCGCCGATGTGGTTCTTCCCATCTGTGGCCCCGGACGTCCCGACCCCTTCCTCGCAGGCAGTCTCTCGTCCCCGATCAACTCTTGACTGTCCAGGGGCCTGAAAGCGCCCTCCGCAGGCCGAAATCGAGGGGACAAGGACATTCTATCCCTGGAGATCCAGGGAATCGGGGGCGGCCAAGAGGGGGGCGTCCAAGAGGGGGGGGTGCAAATCATGACCGGCGGTACGTGCGCGGCCCGGGGGGGGCTGGGGACGCAATGAAATAAGTAGAGGCGCCATGAGATTTGAGGAAATCCGCCGATTCGGCATGTGAGTTTCTGAGAGCGTGGACTTGAGCTCGCTAAAGCTTCGCTCTGCACGGGGGGGGGGGGGGCGCGTTATTTCCGACGTCATTTCCGACGTTTTTCGGCACACGGGGATATTTCAGACGTCATTTCCGATGCTTTTCGGTACCCGCGGACAGGGGGGTATAGAAAACTAAATGTCCGGAGCCCCGACCGCCCAAGACAGCCCAAGAGGAAGCCAAGAGAGGCCCCAGAGGCCCCGTGGACAATGCAAGGGCCCCGACTCGCCGAAACATCGCTCGAACCGCCCAAGATGCCCCGAAGACAATTCCAGAAACCTCCAAGACGTCCCCAAGTCTCACCCTTCCGGATCGGCGACACTGGCTGGAGGCCAGCCCAATATAATGGCCCACGCCATGAGATCCCCCCCCCAAGTCATCACCCCCCTCTTTGCCGACCCCGAGGGAAGAGGGCTCGTCTGCCATGTGGTCGGCTCGGCCGGGCCGCCCCAGAGCCCTCTCCGCCGGCAGCCGCGCGCAGGGCGTCCTCGGGACGGGCCCACCGCGGGGAGCGGGGCCGCGTCGAGGGGAGCGAAGGGTGACAATAAACACAGAAACTCGGAGGCCCGCGCGGATTCCTCGGATCGGCACTGGACCCCCCTCCCTGGCGCGCGGAGCGCGCCAGGGGCGGCGCCGGAGGCGCCGCCATGGGGGGCCCAGCCCGGATCCGAAAGATCCGCGCGGAGCTCCGAGCTTGTATGTTCATGTCACTCTTCGCTCCCCCGGCGTCGCGCGCGCGCGCCCAGGGAAGGGGGGGGGGAGCAGGGGGTCAACAGGCGTCTGGGCCCCGCGGCGCGGCGAGGGCCGCCCGGCCGCCGCGCCCTGCGGCCCTGACGGGGGGGGCGGCGGGGCGCCGCTCGCGCGGCGCTGCGCCGCGCGACCCGCGCGCGGCGGAGCGGCGCAGCGCGACGACGCCGAAGCGAGGCGCACCGCCCGCGGCGAAGCGGCGCAGGCCCTGGCGCGGAGACGGCGGCGGGGCGGAGGAGGAGCAGGAGGAGGACTATCTCCAGGGGTGGGCGGCCGCGGCCGCTCCCGCTCCTGAAGGACGGCCATTCCGAGCGCCCTTCCGAGGGCACGGGCGCGACGTCCGCCGCGGAGCTCCACGAGCGCGCGGAGGCCACCGAACGGCCCAGCCGCGGGGCCCGCCGGCGGCGTCGCACGGCATGTTCGCGCTGTCGGGCCGGGCGAAAGGGGGGGATAGCAAAGGGGGGGGGGGGAGAAGCAGCTCACGCAGCCGATTATCCCGGCGCCTCCCTGCGCCGGAGGCGGCCATGTATCGAGGAAAGGGCCCCTCGGCGGGGCCGGAACCAGCTGCATGCAGCAGAGCTCGTGGCCCCCCCCCGCATTTCCCCATCCCCCCCTTTCGTCCCACACGCGGCTGGGCTCGGGTGTGGAGCTTACGGAGGCCGCTTGCCGGATGCAGTCCACGGGCTCATCACCACGAGGAGCGCGCCGCCTCAGCAGCGAAGGGTCTATTCCTGGCCACGGCCTGGCTCGGCCGCGCACACCGGTTCCCGGACGCAGATCTGAGGAATGGCCCTAAAATTGGAGGCCTGGAAATGGGCACCAACACCAACACAGGAGGTTGCCTCCACAGGGGGGGAGATGATCCTGGAGTTCGGCGTTGGTGCAAATATTTCGGTCACCTCGGCGGCCAGAATATTACCACCATCACCGAGATCGGGATCTTCTTCCCTCGGTGGAAGCACACCGCCGATATCGGTATTGGTGTCAACCTCTAGGCATGCGATAAAACCATAGCTCCTCCCGAGCCCAGAGTGGTCCTTTCTTCAGCGCCTCGGCTCTTCACGTGTGGAAGATCACTGTGCCTGGCCACCGAAGGGCCAGGCGCGGGGAAGCCATGGGAAGCCACCATGGCCGCAGTCCAGCTCTCGCGCAGGGGCCGGCCACGTCATGTGTACCCAGCTTCCTGGCAATCTGAGGAGTGCGCCTCCTCCTTCTCCTCCTCCTCCTCCTCAGCCGCGGCAGCTCCCCGCCCCTGTCCTGCCTGCCGCCCCCCCCCCCCCCCCCGGAGGGAGCAGCTGCGAACACTAAGACGAAGCCCAGATGAGCTAGGAGCAACTCCTGGGAGGTCTTCGTAGGAACGCTGAAGGGGCGATCAAGACGGATGGAGCCAAATCGAGCCAAGGACTGAGCCGCCAAGCCAGATAAAGCAGGCTTGAGTGGGATGAACTGGATTATGCTGCTTTCTCGGGCACGGATGAACCATGTCGAATCTAGCCTCCCATGGGTTGCAAACGAAGAAGGGGAAACATCTGGACGAGGAAGAATCGGGAATCTCTGCAAACTGGCGAGTCCGGGGGATGTATGGGGCACCGCGGTCGTTCCGGCAGGGCTCCGGCACGCCATGGGAGCGGAGCGCACGGTCTGACTCACGCCCACTCGCCGGTGGGAGCGGCGCCTGCTGGAACGCCCTGGGAGCGCTTCTGCAGGAACGCTCGAACCTCATCCTGGGCATGCCTGGTACCTAATGGGCCCAGAAGCTACGAGGCGATTGGTTGTACCGGCTTCGTTGTTCTGCTCCTGTTGCTGTTTCCAGCGCCGTCTTGTTGACGCTTTTTCGGCGCCGTTGCCCGACCGTTCTCGCTTCCCCTGGTGGGGGCCGGGTCCAGATCACACCTTTTCACCAGGTCCGAGCCGATTTCGAACCGGCTCCGAACGTCCTTCGTGTCTTCGGACTGCCCAGGCCGTTTCGGTGAACCGTTTCACCGTTTCGGTGTACCCGTGTGTTTGCCGTGTTCACTCTCAAACGGCAGTTTCTTGAAACCGGTAGAAACGGCCCTGTCATTTCCAGGGCCCACTGGAGCCTGGCATCAACACCTACGAGCCAGCGGGACGGACCCACTGGGCGATCCGGTAGGTTCGGACTCCACTGGGAAACGTGTGGAAAACAACATCTTTTGAGCGAGTCTGGACCCCTTGGCCCCCTGTCGGGCCTTCGAAGGCCTCGGGGTGAGCTCTGGGGATCTCCTGCATGGACATCTGGGGACCAGGACCCGGGACGGAAGCAAAACAAATACTACCAGGGCTACCTCCCTATTCTCCTTCTCCTCATGCTCTGACTCTGGTTCTCCGACTGGGACTCCCAGACTCCAACTCCCCGACTCCGCCTCTTCCTCCTCGTCCTCCTCCTCCTCCTCCTCCTCCTCCTTCTCATCCTCCTCCTTCTCCTCCCCCCCATCAGCATCATCATGTTGACAGTGCATCATCAACAACACACAATTCATCATCAGGAGTAGAAGCAGCAGCACAACCGCAGCAGCACCTTCATCACCATCATCAGTATCATCATCATCATCATCATCATCATCATCATCATCATCATCATCATCATCATCATCATCATCATCATCATCTGCAACATCATCATCATCATCATCATCATCATCATCATCATCATCATCATCATCATCATCATCATCATCATCATCATCATATGCAACAACATCATCATCATCATCTGCAACATCATCATTATCATCATCATCAGCAGCATCATCATCAGCAGCATCTTCACATCAGCAGCATGAGCAAAGTCACCACCATCAGCAGCAGCAGCAGCCGGATCAGCATAATCATCACCATCAGCATGGCCATCATCAGCATGGCCGTCATCAGCATCATCATCAGCATCATCATAAGCATCATGAGCATCATCATCATCCTCATCTTCATCACGATCATCTTTATCGGCTTCATCGTTATCGTCATCATCATCCTGATTGCCATCATCATCATCATCATCAGCATCATCATCATCATCAGCACCATTATCATCATGATCATCAGCATCAGCATCAGCATCAGCATCATCATCATCACCGTCGGCATCGTGTATCGTCATCGTCATCATCAGAAGCAGCAGCAGCAGTATCAGCATCAGCATCATCATCGTGGTCATCATCACCAGTATCGGCATCAGCATCAGCATCATCATCAGCAGTATAGTCATCAACATGGACATCCCATCGTCATCAGCATCATCATAATCAGCATCATCAGCATCGGAATCGTCATCGTCATCGTCATCAGCTGCAGCAGCATCATCATCGTCATCATGATCATCAGCATCAGCAGTACCATCACCATCATGATAAATCATCACCTGCATAAGCATCATCATTACCATCAGCATCATCATCATCGCCCAGATCATGACCATGGACATGGACATCACCATCAACATCACCATCACCATCATCATCATCGTCATTGTCAGCATCAAAACAGGCATCATCCTCAGCATCATCATCATAATCGTCGTCGTAGTCGTTGTCGTCGTCATTCATTGTCACCGTCATCGTCATCACCACCATCAACATCACCACCACCTTCATCCGCGGGGCGCAGCGTGCCCGAACCACCGATGGTCAATCACAGGGTAGACTTGGATCGGTCGTTCATTTTTCCATGAGGCCTCACCCGCGGACGACAGTTTATCATCGTCAGCGCAGGTCACAAGACCATGCAAAAGCGGGTGTGCTGCCTCTCCACGTGGCCGTACCACACGGCCGTGGCGCTGCGGAGCTTCATCTTCGTGATCACGCCACTACCGTTCACTTCGGCCTCAATCATGACCATGTCCAGCTCGTACTCTTCCACGTCCCTGCCACCATTCAGATCCTTCAGGTACTGTTTGCATTCTTCCCTCGTCAGGGTACCAGCGTCGTTTTTGCCGTGCTTCTTGAGCAGTTCGTCCCAGTCTTCGCGATGATCCATGTATGTCATCCAGACGCACATTGCGTCCTCCAGCTCGTCCGCCGATATACAGCCGTCGTTCGACTTGTCCGCGCTTCTAATGACAAAGTTCACCTCCTCTTCCGAAGGCGTAGTCCCCTCGGGTGTGGAACTGTCGATGGCAGTCAGCAATTCTATCAGCTGGTCCTTTTCAAGCTTCCTGTTTCTGTCGTGGTCGAACTTGGCAATAAGCCTGTTCAGCCGCACCTTGTGTTGATACTCCTTCCAGGCCTGTTGTTGCCGCCTCTTGCAGAAGAAGGAAAGGCGGCATCTACATAGACTTTCTGAGGCCCCCGCGGATTTCCTGGATCGGCGCTCGCCCCCCTCCCTGGCGCGCGGAGCGCGCAAGGGGCGGCACCAGAGGGTCGTAGCCTCGGGGCCGCACTCGCCCCAGGCGCCGAAGACACAGCAAAAGGGGAGAGGTCCGGCGCCGATCCAAGGAACCCGCGCGAACCTCCGAAGGCTTACGCTTAGGTCGGGCAGGTCCCTCTACAGGCGGAGTTTGGATGAAAATTCAAAAAATACCCATAAACTATTCAAACATTGCAAGAAATCAAACAATCCCCTGACTATTGCTGGATTAGTTTTGAATGTTCCTCCTGTAGAGGGACAGGCCCGACTTAAGCTCACGCTTGTGCTAACCGTTTCTTTTTCTGTCTTGTCCGCTCGCATGATCGGCGACGGCGCATATCGACTACACGCAAGAGCCACTCTGGGCAAGAGTGCTCTCTGGTGCGTGACGTTCGGGGGCCACGGGGTGGCCCAACGCCCAATACGAGCGCGCAAGACGGTGCTAAATCGCAGTGCGTTCAGTTGTCTGGACCTGGGGGCCCCAGTGTGCGCGCACCATCACTCCAGCGAAAGCTCGGCGGCGAGCGAGGGGGGGAAGTGAAAAGGAGAAGGCCTTCCCAGAAGGATCGGAAGTCCCCTGGCTTTCTGAACAGTTCTCAGAAGGCGCGAAGGCCCCTGAGAAGTCATGTAAAGTCCGCCACCTCCCCCCCGGGCACGCCGCCGAATTTGGTTTTTCGGTCATGATTCGAGTCTCCAGCAGCCGTTCGGGACGGTCCAGGCACCTCCAGAACGCCCTCGGCGAGGCGCAGCTGCTGGCAAGCATCCCGAGCCTGGATACCCGCCGAGAACAGACGAAAATTTCAGAGAACCTCGAACATCGCTGCCGACCAAAAGTCACACTGGCGAGAGGTCACTCTTACGCGTAGCCGAGCATAGGAGCCCCCGTTCGCGAAGCGGACGCCGCCAGCCACGGCGCCCGCGGCACCCAGCGTCATCCGCCGCGGAGGGGGGCGTGCAGGGCCCCCCTCCGCGGGCGGGCACCAGCTGACTATGCATGGGCCATTGCCGACTGTGCTGGCTGCCCGCGGCAGGATTCTGCCCCCACGACGCGGGGCACCAAGCAAAGTGTGCAACGTCGTTCGTCACCATCCTCCTCCTCCTCCTCCTCCTCCTCCTCCTCCTCCTCCTCCTCCTCCTCCTCCTCTTTTTCCTCCTCCTCCTCCCACCCTCCCTCCCTCCCTCCCTCCTCCCTCCTCCCCCTCCTCCCTCTCCCTCGTCCCTCGTCCCTCGTCCCTCGTCCCTCGTCCCTCCGTCCTCCCCTCCCTCCTCGTCCCCTCTCCTCCTCCTCCTCCCTCCTCCCTCCTCCTCCTCCCCTCCTCCCCCTCCCTCCCTCCCTCCCCTCCCTCCCCTCCTCCCTCCTCCTCCTCCTCCTCTCCTCCTCCTCCTCCTCCTCCTCCTCCTCCTCCTCCTCCTCCTCCTCCTCCTCCTCCTCCTCCTCCTCCTCCTCCTCCTCTGGTGTTCCCTCCCGTCCTGGGCCCTGGGGGGCAGGCGGGGGCTGCGATCACGTGGGCAGAGGCCCTGCGACGCGCCACGAGGCGAGCCCCGCGGCGCCGCACCGCCCTCTGCCCGCGAGCCTGACGCCGGGGCGGCGCCGACGGCGGCGGCGGGGGCCTCATACCGTTGACGGAAAAACTGTGCATCAGGAGTTGGGGGACCACTTCGAATACAGTCGGGCCGCTGCAAGAAGGAACGCCACATGAGGAACGAAACCCCTTCTTGGATCCCAGACCCGCTTGCCTGGACGAGGGACGCTGGAGAAATAGCCATGGAGGACCTACTACATGTAGGGAACGTCGATCCCCTTCCAAACTCGAACGGTTCCTTATTTCAGCGTTTTGGCTGTACACCTCCCCGCCCCCCCCCCGGCCTTACTATTGAGCAGCTGGTCCCGGAGATGGGCGGCCGGGAAAGAATCGGGCCCAAGGCTTCGGTCGCAGTGCCTTCCAACATGAAGGCCGGGGGGTGGAGGGGGGGAAGTCGGTTCTTTGTCGTCGGAGCGTCGTAGATGCAAAGTGTTTCCCTTCAACCGTATTCGCTTTTGGTATTGAGTCGGGCGCTGTGTCCTCATAGCTAACGCCCACATGTTCACTTGTGTTCGACACGTGGTTCGATTTCGACGTTGTGCAATTCGGGTGGGAAACAATCTGCCCTTTGATTACCTCACCCAGAAACATTGAGCTAAAACTACACGACCAAATCCTACGTTGTTGGTGTTGGTCCCGCTCGCAGAAGTGCCGATTTCTGTGTTGCTGGCATTCCACTGTGTTCTCGAAGCGTCAACTTGGAGGTCGGGTAACTTCCCAGACTCGTTTGATGTGTCATTTTCGGCCTTCGCCAACGCTGCTGACTTACACCGCCGTGACAAAATATTATGCGGTTTTATGATATGTTGGAATCTCATATCCCTCTGAAGATTCCTAACATTGACCTGCGTCCGTCCTCCGCGATCCCGCGGGGTAATTCGTCTACCTCTAATTAATAACATTGCTGTCTCAAAACAGGATCGGAAATTACTCCGCCCATTCCTATATGAAAAATGGGACGGGATGCGTGTCCACGCGGAATAATTTCTACTCCGCCCACTCCGTTTACTCCGCCAATCTTGAGTCATGTTGAATGAAGACCGCATAATACTTTTCTCACGGCAGTGGGGAAAAATGCGTTGCACTTCGCTTCTCCTCGGCTGCATCCGCCTCAGGCTAGACGACGTATGCTCGCGCCGGCAGGGATGAAGCGATGGCGTTCGTCGTCGTCGTCGTCGTGCACCGTTTCGAAGGGGGCGCCAGTCGCCATCGTCGCTGTTGCCGCAGGGTGCAAGCGCGCGTGCATCCTCTTCCCGCGCGCAGGTAGCTGACTTTCCTGCGGGCGCAAGCCTCGGGGGGGGGCTCGAGTCGTTCGCACGCTGCCGCCGCTGCCAGAATCGTTGCCATTGCCGTTGTCGTCACACCTTGCCGTTGCCGTCGCAGCTTATGTTGGCGGCGCTGCCGTTGCAGCGCCGCGTTCGAGGGAGATCAGTCGATGGAGACAACGGCAGAAATACACACCGCCGTGACAAAATATTATGCGGTTTTATGATACGTTGGAATCTCTTATCCCTCTGAAGATTCCTAACATTGACATGCGTCCTCCGCGATCCCGCGGAGTAATTCGTCCACCTCTAATTAACAACATTGCTGTCTCAAAACAGGATCGGAAATTACTCCGCCCATTCCTATATGAAAAATGGGGCGAGATGCGTGCCCACGCGGAGTACTGTCTACTCCGCCCACTCCGTTTACTCCGCCAGTCTTGAGTCATGTTGAATGAAGACCGCATAATACTTTTGTCACGGCATGAATGTATCTGGCCGCTATGAATTTGCTATGTATCACGGCTATGAATGTAATAATGTATTGCGTGCTATGTATCTGGCCGCTTGAATTTCGTCGTGGGACGCGTCAAACGGGGAGGCGGTCGCGGTCGCGCAGGCTGTCGCGGCAGCGATTTCCTCGGCGGCGGCGGCGATGGGAGGTGGCAGAGGCGAGCGGAGGTCGGACAGTTGTTAGAGAGATGCGGACTATGGCATAGAAAAACATTGCTTGTTGGCGAAAGCTGCGAGGGGGACGGAACAACAAGAGGACGACCGAGACGGGCAGGGGGAGGGCGAGGAGGACGAGGAGAAGAGGGGAGGGGGAGGAGAGAGGAGGAGGAGGAGGAGGAGGAGGGGGAGGAGGAGGAAGGGGAAAAGGAACATAAGTTGGGGCGGGGGGGGGGGGAAGGATAGAGGCAGCGAGGGACGGAGGGGCGGATGGGGTTGGGGGGGCACGGAGGGAAGGAGGAGAGAGGGAAACAGGTACGGATGGAGGGGGGGGGGGAAGCAGGAGGGAACAATGAGCGGGAGAGGAGAGAAAGACAAGGTTGGAGGCCGCTCCGGCGCTGGCCGTCGACCCCGGCGCCGCGTGAGCCGCGTGAACCGTTCTGTCGATGCGTTTTCTCGCGATCAGAATTCGCAAAGCGCCTGGGCCGTCGCCGGCCGAGGCGCGGCAGCCGCGGGGGGGAGCAAACGAGTCAGAAAGAGACGACGTCGTAGTGCGCCCCCCGAACCCTGATATAGCAGCGCGCACAAGGCGCGCCCGATGGCGCCGGCAGGCGGGCGGGGGGGTGGGTAACTTTTGCAAAAAATCGCATGTCCGATGCCGCGCAAAGGAGGCGCCGGCGGCGTAGAAGGGAAGGGACTTTGAAACAATCTCGCGTTCGACGCGCGGCGCGCGGGGGGGGTGGGGGGACTCTGCAAAAATCTCACGCCCACGCTGCGCAAAATTGCCGCGCGCGACCCTGGGATGCGCGGGGAGGGGGGGGGGGGAGCGCGGCCACGTGGCGACCACGTGGCGGGTGCTGGGGGACAGGGGCAGGGAGACTCTGCAGGGGGGGGAGGGGGGGAGGGGGGGGAGGGGGAGGGGGGGGGGGCGGGGGGGAGGGGAGCAGATGGGGGGTGGAGGGGGGAAGGATGAAAAGGGAGGGTACTTTCTGTAAAATTCTGGAGTCTTCAAACGCGCACAAGTATCAACTTTGACGTTGCGACCGTCGCCGTTACGTTGGGGAAAACATGGGAACGTGGAATGTATCAATTTTGGCGTTGGGAAATGCGTCGGCGGTTCTAGAACTCAGTGATTTGGGCATCGAGGTTGACGCAGGGCATCAAAATGGACATCAAAACTGACGTCGGGGACCGACTCTGAAATCGACACCGAAATCGACACCGAAATCTGCACTCCTACTGAGTTTGTATCAAATTGGGCATCAAAATTGACGTCGGGCATCGACGTGGGCATCAAAATGGGCATCAAAATTGACACGGGGGACCGACTCCGAAACCGACGCCGAAATCGAGACCGAAATCGGCACTTCTACTGAGTTCGTATCAATTTGGGCATCAAAATTGACGTCGGGGACCGACTCTGAAATCGACACCGAAATCGAGACCGAAATCGACACTTCTTGTGAGTTTGTATCAATTCGGGCATCAAAATGGGCATCCAAATTGACGTCGGGTGCCCGACTCTGAAGTCGACACTGCTATACTGAGTTCGTATCAAACTGGGCACCAAAAGTGACGTCGGGTATCAATCTGGGCATCAAAACGGGCATCAGAACTGACGTTGGGGACCGACTCTGAAATCGACGCCGGAATCGACACCGAAATCGGCACTTCTACTGAATTTGTATCGAATTGGGCGTCAAAGCTGACGTTGGGCAGAGCGTTGGGATTTTCGTTCGGCGTCGGGAAACGCGTTGGGACTTCCGTCGGGAAAACTGTTCGGCGTCGGGAAAGGCGCTGGGACTTCTTCTAGGGAAACTGTTGCGATCGTCGCTCGCATCAAAACGGGCGCGGGGAGCCGCGCCAACCGTTGGAGTCGGGAGTCGCGTCGGGAGTCGCCACGGACGTCGCGGCAGGAAAGGGCCTCGGAGAAAACGCTGGGGTATCAGAACGGACGTCGACGTTTGAAGCGCACGGCAGCTGTCGCGGGAGAGATGGGACCAATCGGGAACGGCGCCGAACATGAATGCGCGCGGCGAATGACCGCAAGGGCGATGGAAGCGCGACAACCAAAGGGCGAAACGGATGCTAAGCTATGTCGCTGGCCGCTGGCCCTCTCCCGCGCCCCCGCTTCGGGCGTTCGCGATGCATCCGACAAATCTCGCGCATGGTTCGAAGATCTTGAACTTGGAGAAAAGTCCACAGGCGGCCGGTGGAGGCCGCTGCCGGGCAGCTCTCCTTTGAGCGCGTCCGCCCATGGCCTTGCGCCTGTAGCCCCACCGCTGCCCCCTTCCACTGCGCGCGCGCACGCACGCGCAGAGCGCAGTATGCAATGCGCAATGCAGCACGGTTGCGATACCTCCAACGAAACTTGCGCTGAACTCGAACTTTTGAGCTTGGGGGAAAACGGAGAGGAGGAGCAACAGCGGCAGGCACTCGCCTGCTGGCAGCGGGCTCCAGGGCGCTCCCCCGACCCATGGCGAGGCACGGCCAGACCGAGGCCGGTTGACCGGAAAAGGAGGAGGGATGGGAGGAACAGTGGCAATACATAGCAATAGCGATAACGGCAGCGGCTGCGGCAGTGTCAGAGCAGACAGAGACTGTCAGGGAAAGAAAGGAGAGGAACCTAAAACTTAAGAAACTCTGACACAAGTCACAAATGTAACAAAGAATCCAGGATCCCACGACCAGAGCCCAGCGGCTCAGGATAGCCCATGGCCCAAGGCCCAGGGTCCAGGATCCCACGGCCAGACTCCAGGATCCCACAGCCGCAGCCAGAATCCAGGGTCCAACCCAGGATCCACGGCGTCCACGGCCAGAATCCTTCTCTCTTCTTCCTCATCCTCTTCCTGTTCCTCGTGATGCCTAGCCCTTCGCCTCAATTATCCTATGTCTCTCCCCTTTGGTTTCCCCCACACGCCCTGCGCGGGCGCTGCTTGGCTGGAGAATGTACGACTTGATTTAACACAAGTGGCGACACTGTTGGATGTGCAAGGCGTCGCGTTCAAACTTGATTCGAATGACGCTGTGGAAATCGAGTTTTGAAACGATCAATGCGTGCGCGAACACGGTTTCCAAGCACCGACGTGTTTGACAACGCATGGGCGGCATTGCAACACATTTGCTAACATAACGCGCGCGCATCAACGTATTTCGTGACGAAGCCAACATTGTGGAACAATCTCCGCAACACAATAAACAACACATACACAACAACTAACGCATTTTGCAGAACATGGCGTCCCGCGCAATAAAACTCTAACTTTCTTGACACGAGAACCATCAACGCATTGAGACAACGCACGCTTCGAAAATCGACACGTCGACACAACGCACAACACCAAAATCGGCACGTACTCCCAACGTTTTAATTCTCCATGGTTAGCGCGCAACGCCCGACTCAATTTTGGTTCCACCACGCATTGGGCCCGACGGCTGTCGGGGACCGGCAGCAAGGTTTGCTGGGGCCGACAAGAGAAGGGTCCGAAAAAAGCGTTCGGCCCCAGCACAAAGAGAGACGGCCCATTTCCTGACATCGCGCGGGCCGTCCAGTCTGGAGAGATACTAGCCCACCACGACCTCATCGACCCCCAAAGCGATGATTGTCTCAGGGATGCGCCGTCAGAACCTGAGAGTGTCCTCAAAATCGGTATCCAGACCAAGTGATGCGAAACATAAGGATATGGAAATGTTTCAGGCTGGTATAACAGGGGATATGTCGACCCCTATCCCAGGCTTTGGGAGGTTTTCGAGTGGACCAGACATTTGCGGCCAAACCCTGGGATACACGATGAGGGGGCACCCATCCTCGATAGGGGTGCGCCCGATTAGCCCCCTTGGGATGTATCCCAAGGTTTCCCTGCTTTTCTGAGCGGCTTCGTTTTTCGTCGAAAATCGGCGGTGGACAAGCCTCCCCTTCGTAAACCACCCTTTAGTGAAAACGGCCTGGGACCGAAACCGGACCTGGACGGCCTGGACCCGCAGAAATGACGGTTGCGACGCCCCCTCGCGAACCGAAAACGGCCAACTCGCGAATGAACGCGTCGGGGCAGGAGGTCTCTCAACCTCCGAGACAAGTCCGGGGCTGGGGGAGAAGAGTCGCCCGCGAGGGCGAGATGCCCGCGCTCCCGGAGGCCTCTTGGAGGCTCACGACCCCGTCGTCGTCGTCGTCGTCGTCGTCGTCGCCGTCGCCGTCGTCGCCGTGGGTCGCTCGCGCGGCCGCGGCGGCGCCGCGTGCCGCCCTCCCGCGGCCCGCCGCGGGCCCCGGGAGGGCGTGCTCAGCCCCGCTGGGTCGGCGGCGGGCCTCCTCCTGCTCCTCCTCCTCATCCTCCTCCTCCCTCCTCCTCCTCGTCCTCCTCCTGCTCCTCCTCTTCCTCCTCCTCCTCCTCCTCCTGCTCCTCCTCCTCCTCCTCCTCCTGACTTCTCCTCTCCTCCTCCTCCTCCTCCTCCTCCTCCTCCTCCTCCTCCTCCTCCTCCTCCTCCTCCTCCCCTTCCTCCTCGTCCTCCTCCTCCGCCTCCTCCCAGGGGGGACTGGGACGTACGGAGATATGCTGCTACTTTCTGTCCTCCTTGGAAGCGCGCGCCCGACCCGAACCCAGACCCCCTCGAGTAATGAAAACATCAAAATCATGACGCAAGGTTGTTCGCCATGTTCGGTCTCTGGGGGCCCTTGCCGGGCCGCCGTCAAAAGTCGACTCAGGATGACAAGCCGGTCCTGGGGAATAGGTCGAGACCTCGGAGGGTCGACGTAATGAAGAAACCATGACGTCGGGGGTCTGGGCACGGAGACATGCTGGTGCTTTCTGTCCTCCTTGGAGGCGCGCGCACGACCCGAACATACAGCATGCCCATCCTGCAGCACGGTGAAGGCATTGGATAAGGAACCATTGGATAAGGAAGCCAGGGTCTGGAAACCAGTGGAACTCCAATCGTGGATCGGCCAAGGATGTCACCGCCGCCCCCATTGGATAAGGAATCCCCCAGGGTCTACAGCCGCCTGGGCCCATTCCTTAACGAACGCCCGCACCGTAATACTTTGTGTCCTCCTTGGAGGCGCGCGTCCGACCCGAACATACAGTATGCCCATCTTGCAGCACGCTAGGGGCATTGGATAAGGAACCAATGGATAAGGAATCCAGGGTCTCGAAGCCAGTGGAACCTCGATCGTGGATCGGCCATGGATATCACCGCCGCCCTCATCAGATAAGGAACCCTCCAGGGTCTGAAGCCTCCCGTGCACGTTCCTTAACCAACGCCCCCACCGTACTAGTACTTTCTGGTCCTCCTTGGAGGCGCGCGCCCGACCCGAACACACAGTATACCCATCTTGCAGTACGTCGTTTCCTGAGCGGTGTGGCCAGGAAGCGCCCGCCACGACCTATGTACTGTAAGATTTTTCGGTGCGCGCGTCGCCCCTGCGGGGGCGACGCACACGTAGTCTCAGTATGCTGGGGTGACGCCGAGGGAAATGAGAAGGGGCAAGAACAACCAGCATCGAATCGGGAAACCGGATCGGATCAAAACGCGTATCGAATCGGACCGCATCGGCCCGAAGTCGGAATGGAATCGGACCGGCGGCGCCAGGATGCGTAACAGCGCCATGCAAGCATCGGGCCGCATCGGATCGCCCGAACATCGGAATCGAATCGAATCGGGCCAGCCAGAGCCGATGGCGAATCGGATCGATCGGATCGAAATGGACTCTCTAAGGGGTAGGCCTTCTCAGAAGGCGGCGGGGCTTCTCAGAAGCCCTCGCGCGCTCTGAGATACAGCCTGTGCCTCCGGAGAAGGCTAAGAAAGCATCTCGGAAGGCTGGAGGCCTTCTGAGCCACCTGGGAAGGCCCGTCCCCGTCTGCCTTCCCCCCTGGGCGCGCCACCTATCGAAAGCCCGCGCCGTAGTCGACGCCGCGTCGAGGTGGCGCGAATCTGCCGTACGCACCCCGCCCGGGTTTGAGCCGGCGGCTTCAGGCCTGAGCCGAATCGGCTACGTACGTTGAATGTGTGCTTGGATCGGCCCTGGGGACACACCACCACGCCAGGGCGCGTGCATCTGTCGAGGGCCTCGGGCTGACACCAGACGTTGGGCGCAGCTTCTGTTTTTGACCTCTGCACTCCTACTGAAGAAGTGCACTCACCAGCCTGACAGCAGGCGGAGAGAGCCGCCTGCCGATGGGCGGCGCGGGAGATGTTCTCACGCGCAGACCCGACAAGGAAAAAAAAACGGAGCGGGAGTGTTATCTACTTCCTCCCGCGGTACCGCTGAAGACCGAGCGGACGATGCTCACATCCCACGTTAAGACGAAGCCAGGACGGGGATAACATCGGACGACGATAAATCGAGAACCCCTGAGATCCCGCGGCCCTGGAGGATGTATCGGGCGCCGCGGCCTTCGCAGAGCGTTCGGGAACGCTCTGAGAGCGTGCCCGAACGCTCGAGGACGGATCCGTCCTCGTCCAAGCCCCGTCCGACACGTTCCTGCCAATGCGCGCAAGATTAGCCGCAGTCTTCAGACTCCGCAGCGAAACCACGAGCAGCAGGGGACGAGGGCCGATTGTCCTGCATCCTCGTGGGCCCCGGAAGCCTCGGCAACCCTCTCCGGCTGCCGTAAAATCCCCTAGCCAGTGAACAGCAGACATGTGTGCCCGCTGGGTTCAACAAAAAACGCTGCGCCGTGTCCTCTCAGGCCCCCCTGCCTTACCACCAACGGGTTTCACCGAGTAGTTGGCGACGAGGAAGGCGAGAGAGCGGGCAGTCGTTGAAAACCCAGGTTCAGCGAAAAATCTGCTGCAACATTGACCCCCTAGGCACAGCAACGCTCCCGCCAAGGTTCCGCCCTAGCAGGAAACCACCGCGCTGTCCTTCCAGCAGTCCGAGGACCGAATGACCAAGACCACGTGCTCGGCAGCATCGACCGAAACCAAGGCTCCACCCCAGCAAAAGGTCGCGCCACCTCGAATGACCAAAATGTGTACCGCCGCCCATCCATAGAACCATCCTGAGCTCCTCCGAAGCCCGCCGGCACCCACAAAAGAGTGCGCCCGCCCCAGCCCGAGCCATCTCCCAAGCTGCAGCCGCCGAGCCGCTGAGCCCTGCGCGCGCCCCTGGGCGTGCGCAGCTCCGACGGGCGTCGGGCGCGCGACGCCCTGCGGGCATGGCGAGAAAAGTCTAAAAGCAGCAAGCGAGGGCGGTGCCCTGCCGCTGCGCACTGCCGAAGGGCGAGGCGTGCTCCGCCGCCTGCCGCACTGCGCTCTGGCGCTTGGCCTGCAGCATCCGGCTGAACGGCGACAGGAGCTCGGGGCCCGCGGCGGTGCGGCGCTTCGCCACGAGCAGCGCGCTGGCGAACGGCGAGCTAGGCTGGGTGTCGGACTCGCAGAGGTCAGATGCCACGTCCTCGCCGAAGAACGTGATGCTCTCGCCGTCGGCCGCCGTGCTGCAGGTGTCCATCGAGTGGTCGGCGACCTTCGGGTCGCAGTGCTTCGGCGAGCACGCGTGGGCGTCCTCGTCTGGCGTCGACGGTGGCCTGCCCATGGCCGTCGAATGGTGCACCCCACGCACCAGGGCCATGTTCAGGAAAGCGGGGCGGAGGTTCTTGTAGCCCTTGGGCTTCGGCTGGCACTTGGCCGTCGACAGGTGCAGGCCGGGGATGACCTCCATGTTCAGAGCGGCCGGACGGAGATTGCGGTACATTGTGAAGGATGAAACGCGCGGAAACTTGCACGCTCGGGTCAACAGCCCTTGGAAGAAACACAGCTTGAGCCAAAGTGGCTACGGACGTGGGGCGCAGCAGGGGAACAGAACATGGGGAGGGAGGAGGAAAGGGAGACATCCCCAAGATCCGATGGAGGCCTCTTCTTGGCCCCCCCTTGCGAAGAAGAATAAGGAGTAGCTCGAGGAGCAGCAGAACCGGGGAGGAGGAGGAGGAGGAGGAGGAGGAGGAGTCGACTCAGCTACCCGAGGCAGCAGCGACTCTTGTAGCCTGCAGCAGCGCTGCTGGATCGACGCAAGATGTCTGCTCGACTGAGGGGGAACTGACACACACACACACACAACTAAATAGACACGAATAACCAGACTCCCCATATACTTCCCCACACTTTCTGGGTCTCTGTCTTCCCCCCCCCTTTCCCACATTCTCCATATCTTCTGGGGCATCGACGATGACTTGTGCCCTGTGTGTCTCTTCCCCTCCTGCTCGACGACATCCCCGGGCGCGGCAGCCCCTCGCTGCGGGCTGGGCGAGCGGCGCGGGCACGGCCGCCGGAGCCCGATCGAGCGGCGGAGGCCCTGCGCGCTCGAGGCCGCGCCGCGCCCCGGATGAGAAACCGGTCCTGGGGACTAGGTCGAGACTTCTGGGGACCCCGCATTGAAAAAATCACGACATCGGATCTCTGGGTCCCTTGCCTGGAGGTGGTAAGGCCTTGGGTTGTGATAGCTCAATGGCAATTCGGCCCCCTGGATACAGGATCGGATGCGAAGCGAGTGGTGGAGTGCAACAGCTATGGCCAAAGCAGCGGTGGAGAGCAAGAAACATAGCAGGCCTGTAGCAGACCTCCGTGCGCCTGCAAACCAAACCGTCAACGTCCCAGGCTGGAGGAGTTGGCCACCCCTTCGTCGTGGCCCCCTTGGCTTTCCCCACTGCCTGGGCCTCCTGACCCACGGGGTCGCCAACTCTCCGACACTGGGGTGGTTGCCGACGGTGACTCCCGCAGAGCTCGGGGCGCAAACATCGGAGAGGGCGCGTAGTCAGGCTCGGGACGAAGTCGGGCCGGGACAGGACGGGGCTCTCTGAGACCTGGCGGTGCTGGAGCATGTATCGCTCGCCGCGGCCGTGCCATACTCTCTGGAACGAACTATCCTGGTCCCACAAGCCTCGTCAAAAATAAACGGAAGACTTCTGAATTCGGTGATTGTGGGGCCAGTGTTACTCCAATGCTGACGGATCCCTGTTGACTCGGGCGCGGTGTTGTCCAAAAACCGACCCCACCCTCTCAGCACTGAAGAACGCGCTTTCTGACAAGTGCCAGAAAGCATCGCGCTCCAGGATTTCAACTTCCATGTGTGGATATGTTTGACGAGGCTTGTAGGCCCGACCGACTAGCCGAGGCGCGTTCCTATCGGTGCGCGATCCCATGGATGCGGTTCGTGCGGAGCACCCGCCCGGAATACCCACGGGGTCGCGGCTCAAAGGCTCAGGAGTCCAGGCCGCGAGGCCGTTGTTGTTGTTGTTGTTGTTGGTGTTGTTGTTGTTGTTGTTGTTGATGTTGTTGTTGTTGTTGTTGCTGTTGTTGTTATTGGTATTGCTGTTGTTGTTGTTATTGTTGCTGTTGTTGTTGTTGTTGAATTATTGTTGATCCCCCACCCACCGGTGCATACTGATTTTTGCTCAACCAAAGTGTGCCCCTCGACGCTCGCACCCTGTTTATTGACAGGGAAAGTCTTCCTGCTCAGACTGGGCCCCTGGCCCCCGGGTTGCAACAACAACGGCTCCCGCTTAAGACTTCCTTACAATTTAGCCACGACCCCCGATCCCCCCCGAGACTTCCTCGCATTTTATTCCGGAATCGCGCTCTCACTTGGGACTTCCTTACAATATATTCAGGAATCGCTCTCCCGGCGCTCTGGAGTCGCGCTCTCGCTGGCGACTTGCTTGCAACTAACTGAAGAATGGCCTTGCGTTGGAATTTCCTGCAATTTGCCCAAGCGCCGCGCTCCCGACACCCAGGCACCCAGGAGTCGCGCCCGTTGTGGCCCCATGTGCATGCCCTTCGTGGCCCCGCGGTCGCCATTTGTGTTCCCCTCACTGTCCTACGTGGCCCAGTTGCTACCCTCAGTGGCCCCATAGTTGCCTTCTGTGGCCCCGCATTATCTGCACTTCGTGGCCCCCGCTCGTTCGCGCTCTTCGTGGCCCCATACGCATTCCCTTCGTGTCCCCGCTGTCGCCCTTCGTGGCCTACTTCGTGCCCTTCGTGGCCCTGCTGTCGTTCTCTCTCGCTCTCGCTTTCGCTCGTCGTCGCGTCGTCGTCGTCGTCGCCGTCGTCTTCGACGTCGTCGTCGTCGTCGTCGTGGTCGGTCCCCTGTCCGTCCCTCTTGGGGTCGGGTCGACGGTCCGCGGCCGCCCCGCCGATCAGCGCTGCCGCTGGCCAGGCCGACGGTCCGCGGCCGCCCCGCCGCTTGCCGGGGCCCGGCCTGCAGGGAAGAAAGGTATACCCCCCAAAAGGGGTTCGATCGAAGACGAAGAGGGCGGGTATCGAGGGTTTGGGAAATACGCGTTATTGGACACTCGAGCGTCTGAGGGCGAACAGTCTTAAAATTATTTAATCGCTTCGCTCATTCCGCCGGCCCATATTGTCGCACAGTTGTGGGCTAGCCGAGTTTTGGGGCCTCTTGGGGGCCGTTTTGGGGCCTCTTGGGGCCTCTTTTGGGCCTCTTGGGCGCCTCTTGGGGCGTCTTGGGGGCCTCTTGGGGGCCTCTTGGGGCCTTTTTGGGGCCTCCTGGGCGCCTTCTGGGGCGGAGGGCTCGATTTTTCAGTTCTCGGTTCCCCTCTTGAGCCCCTCTTGGGCCCGTCTTGGGGCCTCTTGGTCCGTCTTGGGCGGCACTTGGGCCGTCTTGGGGGCCCTCCAGGGCCGTTCCGGGGCCGTCTTGGGAGCCTCATGGGCCGTCTTGGAGCGGTCTTGGGGGCCTCTTGGGCCGTCTTGGAGCGTCCGGAAGCCGAAGAAGCCAGAACGCAAAAAACAGCGAAAAAAACAATGAAAATCAACGATTTTGGCCTCTTGGGGCCCTCTTCGGAGGCCTCTTGGAAGGCCCTTGGGGCGTCTTGGAGGCCTCTTGGGCTGTCTTGGGGCCCTGTTGGACACTCGAGCGTCTGAGGGCGAACAGTCTTAAAATTATTGTTGTTGTTGATGTTGCTGTGGAGATGTCTCCGCCCGCGATCTGGCACCTTCTTCGGCACGAGGGAAGCGGTCCCTGGCGGAAACGGGTCCTGGTCCCTGGGGATTGCACCCTGAGTGTGCAATCTCTGTTGACGGCCCCTGGAAAATACCGACGGACAAACCCATGCACCCTTTCCACGCCCGAGACCCTCCTTCGTGGCGATCGGCCCCCCGACCTCATCGAACCCCTTCTCGCTTGCGCTCTTCCGAAAATTCCGACGGGAGTCGAACCGTGGACCGTGGCACTGAGGAGCCCCCCGGAAGCCCCAACGACAGAGACACGTCAGAAGATCTCCGTCCTCGCACGTCGCTTCTCGAACTCTCTCGAGCATCGCTCCTCGAGCCTCGGGGCGGCTTTTCGGCGCGCGGCCGTGGGCTCGCAGAGGCCAGGGCGCGACGGGGTCTGCCATCGCCAGAGACCCGCGCGCACGCGCGCGCCCAGAGCGCGGGGGGGGGGCCGCCGACGGTGACGGGGTGCGACGGGCGCGGGAGGCGAGGCGTGGGGACGGGAGGAGGAGGAGGAGGAGGAGGAGGAGGAGGAGGAGGAGGAAGGAGGAGGAGGAAGGAGAAGGAACGAGGAGGAGGAGGAAGGAGGAGGAGGAAGGAGGAGGAGGAGGAGGAGGAGGAGGACGGAGGAGGAGGAGGAGGACGGAGGAGGAGAGGAGGAGGAGGAGGAGGAGGAGGAGGAGGAGGAGGAGGAAGGAGGAGACGAGCGAAGGAGGGAGTCCTCGGTCCTGACCTACCCTACCTGTCCCAGCTGGCTTGGGGTGCGGGCGCAGCCGCGGGCAGCAGTCCTGCCTCCAGGACGCCGACGACAGGCGTTGCAGGAGGAGGAGGAGGAGGAGGAGGAGGAAGGAGGAGGAGGAGGAGGAGGAGGAGGAGGAGAAGGAGGAGGAGGAGGAGGAGAGGAGGAGGAGGAGGAGGAGGATGAGGAGGAGGAGGAGGAGGAGGAGAGGGGGGGAGGAGGAGGAGGAGGAGGAGGAGGAGGAGGAGGAGGAGGACGGAGGAGGAGGAGGAGAGGAGGAGGAGGACGAGGAGGAGGAGGAGGAAGAGGGGAGGAGGAGGAGGAGGGGGGGGAGGAGGAGGAGGAGGGAGGAGGAGGAGGAGGAGGAGGAGGAGGAGGAGGAGGAGGAGGAGGAGGAGAGGAGGAGGAGGAGGAGGAGGAGGGGGGGGAGGAGGAGGACGGCGAGCCGTGGGGACGGGAGGAGGAGGAGGAGGAGGAGGATGAGGAGGAGGAGGAGGAGGAGGAGGAGACGCGCAGGAGGCGGGAGCAAGGAAGCTGGCACACGCAGATGGCTGCACGCACATGCCGAAGATCCATAAGGCCACGCGCGGGATACACATGTGTGGAGGCCTGGCCGACAGGGCTGGCCACAGTAGGAGGGCGCTGGAGAGACATCTGGCCACGTGTGTCTCAAACTATCGCCCAAGTCGGCAGCGTCCGAGTAGGCTCACTGATTAATACATCGTTACATCTACATCTACGAATGTAAACACCAACGAAAGCATGGGACCCACGAGCCTCCTACGCCAACAAACAAACGAGGACACAACATATGTGTGCCCCCCAAGCTTGTTGCACTCGCACCATAATGGGGTCCCATGGGATCAGAAGACAAAGAACAACAACTTTCGCAAGAAAAAAGTTCGACCTGGGGTCAACGAAAATGGCGCCACCTTCGCCATTCAGCGAGACAACTACAGAGGCGAGAAGCTCCACGCACCAGCGATTTTGGTGCCTTTTGTTGTGCGGCTGTGGTCAAAACCATATGAATTACAAGGTTTCCCGCTCGGTCCAGCCGCATCTGCTCGAGCGCGTCTCGATCGGGCCGAAGC